CAATGTTGTGAAATGGAAGCCAATAGCCTGAAATCATTCCTCAAGATGATTTTGTCTTCAAAATGTCTAGATTCCAGAATATGCTGGATAGGCAGGAGGAATTCTAAGCAGCCTATACTAGGCAGTTGTTTAAATGCCAATATTTTAGGAATTTTTCAAAGCACTCTGCTCTTGTGCAATGCTCAACAGAGAGCACTTTGACACTTTTCCTTATTCTAGTTTTGCTGGCCTTTTGCAATTTGCAGAGCCTTCCCCTTTACATACAACTACGATTGTGGAGAAATGCACTCTTAAACTTGTCGATGAGTTTAACCACATGCTCTGCCAAGCCACCGAGCCCTTGTCAACCTTTCTGGAGTACATCAGGTACATATTATTTGTGTTGCTGGGAAAAATTGTCTCTTTATCTATATACCACTTTTCTGTTTTGCTATGCATGGTGAATTATCTTAGAGAAATATGATAACAAGTTATCCTGCAGTGCATGATATTTGAAATATTACCTTTTTACATTAAAGGACACATTTTTGTATAATAGAACTGAGAACTCATTTTACTGCTCCATTAACATACGGTTTATTATGTTGCATTAGGCTGTATGGCTGTATATCACATACACAGTTAGTCTCATACCCTTAACTTTTTCATGTATTATTCACTATTCAGGAAAATGCATGAAAAATTTTGTATTAAGAAAAAGATGAAACAATACCAAATTGGTGCTGCTGTTTAAGAAAGATCAACTATTACTTCCTTAATGAATATTTTAGTCGTAAATAGCAACGTGGGTGTTACGCATCCTTACAATTAGTTACAGCCCTAAAGAGCTTAAAGATATTGATACGATCATTTATACTATATACGTTATTTTTATTTCACAAATAAATAATTAAAGTTATAATGCGTCTATCTTTCCAGCTTTGTTCTTAACCCCTTTGAACCATATTCTATTCCTTTCTTCCCAGAGCTTCCAAGAGATGCAGAAAGGAGTTATGTCCTAAAGTTCCCTAACATTAATGCAGATTAGGCAGCCTCTCCAGATAGTTTAGCAATCTCCCAGTGTTAGCATTACACAAGATGCCCCATACAGCAAAAGGAACATTTGCTGCTGCTCATTCGCCACCTCATAATCTAAAAGCATATAGTTGGCTGACTCTTCATGTTTTTCACACAGAGAATACTTATTACACCATGTCTTCTCCCATTTCTGCAAGTTATCTTATGTTGTTGGAAAGACTGTCAGAGAAGATGATAGACTTGGAAAGTTTAATTCGATTTGAAACATAGCTCATTAACTTCATGATCTAAAGCTCATTAACATAGCTCCACTTCTGCAATGTGATTGAATCTAAATTGTGGTGTTCCTTCACATGGTTCAGATATGGTCACATGATTGATAATGTTGTCTTAATTGTCACCGGAACTTTGCATGAGAGAGATGTCCAAGAATTGTTGGAGAAATGCCATCCTTTGGGCATGTTTGACAGGTATTGTTCCAGATGCATGCCTTGGATTTTTATAGCTAAATGAAATATGTATTAACCATTTTAATATTTTGCAGCATTGCTTCTCTGGCAGTTGCCCAGAATATGAGGGAGCTATACAGGCTGGTGCTTGTTGACACACCCTTGGCCCCATACTTCTCTGAGTGCATTACTTCCGAGGTATCAAATACTTCACCCTTTTCTTTTAACTTTGATATGGTAATCAGAAACTACCTATTGCCGTTTCCAAATAAGAAAAGGTTGCATATGCTTTTAGGGGTCGTTTGGTACAATGGTGGGATATCCAAAATATCCCATGTAGTTGTAGTGGGATATCCCATGGGATTAGTTATCCCACCTTTTATATGGGATAACTAATCCCACCATTTTAGTGTACAAGTTGTCCCGGGATTAGCTAATACCCCAAACCAAACATGGGATAAAGTTAATCCCAAATTCTATCCTGGGATTATTATCCTTAATTCCTTATCCCATGTACCAAATGACCCCTTAGTTTTCTTGAGTATCGGCCTTTTCATTTCATGCTGTCCCTTTGAAGAATCAATATCAAGTAAATGGTTGTAGCTCCATGCACTTCATATGTAGTTAACCAGTATCCTCTCCCCGCATTACAGGGCCCTAGTATTTTGTCATTGATTGCTTGCAGTTTTGAGGATGATAGTTATCTTTTCTGTTTTTGTGCATTCCAAGTAGAATTGGTTCATAATTTCGGAGTATCTTTCATCATGCATCAGTTGCTTTTATCAGTCTTTTTTCTTCCATGTATGAACATATCCTTTCATATATGGGACTTACTTTTGAGCAGGACTTGGATGACATGAACATTGAGATTATGAGAAACACACTATACAAGGCGTACCTTGAAGATTTCTACAGATTTTGCCAGGTACAATCTGTTGTACAATTTCTATCATATTTTCCTACTCTTCATTTTAATAAAAGTTTAACACTCACTTCACTTGTCTAATATGAAAATTTTGCAAATAGAAACTAGGGGGTGCTACTGCAGAGATCATGTCTGATTTGCTTGCTTTTGAGGCCGACAGAAGAGCAGTTAATATTACCATAAACAGGCATGTCACTGTTTCAGAATTTCTCATAATCTTGCTGGACAACGTTTATCGGACCTTGTCATAATGTTTCTACTATTAACAAACATTTTTCATTTGCAGCATCGGCACTGAGCTAACACGTGATGACCGCAGGAAGTTGTACTCTAATTTTGGCTTACTGTAAGTTCATGTAGCTCAGTCTTTTATATTCTTGATGGCATATGCCGTGAAACATCTCTTTCTGACACAGTCTATGTTAAATAGTTATCCATACGGTCATGAGGAACTTGCTATATGCGAAGACATCGATCAGGTATTGTATGAGCAACTTTTCTTTATTCTTCTTGTTGCTCTTTTATGCGTGTGAAATATGCTTGCGTTGGTTAAATAATAGTTAGCTAGATACGATGAATCAGTAGTCTTGTTGGGGTGCTACATCGCATGCAGTTCTCTTTCCCCCACCTTGCCTTTAAAAGGAGAAGACTGGAGCATCATATAGTGCCTGGAAGTGGGCAAGAAATCCTTTCCCTAATTCTTTTTTGGGTGGGGGGAGTGCAGTGGTGGCAATGGCGGAAGGTTTAAATACTATTTGAAGGGAGCGGAGAGACGAGGAAAAGAAGAGAAAACAAATACAGAATTTTGTTTGTAGTGTAAAGGGTACAAGCTATTTCTCTCTCCGTTTTAATTTATGTGACGCATTTTTCTTATTAGTCTACTCCAAAAGAAATAACACATTTCTGATTTGGAAACCATTTAACTAAAAAAAATTCAAATGTCTTATAGCAAAACAATTCTTCCTTTTTTTCTTAAACTCCATGCCGTGTCAAACTACGTCACATAAATTGAAACAGAGAGAGTAATATTTTTCGTGTCTTCTAAGTGTCCTTTTACTACTTGTTGTAGGTCCGTGGTGTCATGGAAAAGTACCCCCCTTACCAATCCATTTTTGCTAAGTTGGCATATGGGGAGAGCCAGATGCTCGACAAGGCTTTCTATGAAGAGGAAGTCAAACGCCTCTGCTTAGCTTTTGAACAACAGGTTTGTTCATTTGAGCTCTCTGTATAAAAATCTTATACTGTTAATGTCTCTTACTTGTACAGGACAATTTCAAAAAATTTCCCACCCCAAAATGTTCCTCCAAGAAAGTGAATAGGGAGCAGAAGCAGAAGGACCATCCATCTGCTTCCCGATTGATATTTTCTTTTCTTTTCATTGCAGTTCCACTATGGTGTATTTTTTGCATATATAAGGCTGAGAGAGCAGGAGATCAGGAACTTAATGTGGATTTCTGAATGCGTCTCTCAAAACCAAAAATCCAGAGTCCATGACAGTGTTGTTTTAATATTTTAGTAATTAAGCCATATTTGAGATGATGTGTTCTCCATGCTCATCTGTAAATTTGATTTGCACGACCATTTGTTGATAACTATGAGTTTTTGGTTAAGAAGGCCTGAACCCAGCCGTAGGACGGGGGTTACAGTAATTGTGAGGCCATTCTCCTTGGAACTTACCATATCTCCCCTATGCCCTTCCAAAGCCGTAGGAAGTGGATATTACTCGTTCGTTTGCAACTTAATAAGTCATTGTATGTTGGTTAAATTTGTCATCTGGAACAATACTTGGATTGATGTGTATCAATGTATCACTATTTATTGAGTTTTGCTGCTGTCATTTACTTGAATTACCGGGATTTAACTATATGGGTAATTTCCTTTGGTAAAGCGATGAGTTACAAAATACCTGCTTGAACTTGCAGAGCTGAACCATTAGAAACCGCAGTAGAGGAGAATGACCATTTGTTGTTGATATAAAAAACTGAAAGTTTTCCTCTGTTTTCAGTTTTGAAAAAAATTCATATTGGTGATGATATATTCTTTCTGATTGATCTTTTTCTTCGAATTAGGTGATTCAACAATGTCTTCTAAAGTTCTAATACCTTCATGTGTTGGACATTGAAAGAAGGTGGGTTAGAGAGAGCGTTCTTTTCTCAAAATAATTCTTTTTTTGTTATATGTTTAAAACATTCCTTCCAAGTCAGACTCATCTATTCTATTTCTAATCGAACCAAATAACATAAGATAAAGCAATAACTAGATTATTTTCCCCTATTCTCACAACCTCCTCTCTTCCCTTAGACCAAATATTTAATAGGAAAGATGCTGACAAGTATAAATACAAGTAGAAAAACCAAATGAAACAAACTTATAAAAATGGATCCAACGTGATGGAATCAGAGTTTTTATTCCAAGTAAGCATACATGTTGAAACGTTGTTAAAAGCCAATCGACAACTTATACATTATTAGGACCATCCCGTCCTCACAAAATACAATCTTTACCCAAAAGTTACCAGTTATTCATTCATTTATTCCGGCCTAGATGAAGGCAAGTTTTGTGTTCCAACACAATTGTAGCATCCAAAGGCCACTCAGCATGGATCAAACTTATATTAGAATTGTCCAAATTAAAACGACACCCCCAACAAATATCTTGTACGCAGATGTAGTAACCTTGTATGAGTTGTTTGAGTCATCCTTTTTTGGTGCCGGTCCCGGAGCCGGAGCTGCCGGTGCCGGTGCCAGGGCTGCCGGTGCCGGTACCGGAGCTGCCGGTGCCGGAGCTCCACCTTCTACGGTGATGACAAGCTTTTGGTTATGGTCGGAGCAATGTGTTGGAACACCACAAATGTACCATTTTTTACCAGGCTTAGCCAATGTAATCACATCATGGCCAGTAGTTAATCCTTCACTTGGTGGAGGAGCTATGCAGTTTTGGAAACCAGTTTGGTTCACTTTGAACACATTATGATGACCTTTGGTATACTTAAAAACTGCATCAAAGACAAAGAAAAAGATAGAAAATAGTTCAAGTAATAGTCACCATTTAACCAGTTAAATATAGCTTCCTTTAAGTCGAATAATAATTCTGCATTCCATTAACTAGTTGAGAAAAGAAAAGAAGTGGAAATTACATTCTTCCTATTGATTAATGAAGAGAAATAGAACAGAGAAATTGCACTAAGTCAATAAAAGAGAAGTTACTTCGGACACTCCACAAAGTTCTTGATAGTCCTTTACTACTTTTCGTTCATGTTTCTATCTTTTAAGGTTTTTGCATATTCCGTAGAAAAGATATTTAATAGTTTTAATCATAAGAGTATTTGTCTAAATTACTATTTATCTCTCCTTAAGTATCTCACTAAATTAACACAGCAATCAGAGGCGGATGTAGCTTACTAGCTACGGGTTCAACTGAACCCATAACTTTCGACGCGGAGTAAAAATTTGTATGTAAAAATTCATTAAAATTGCAAAAATAGTAGATATGAACCCATAACTTTCGACGCGGAGTAAAAATTTGTATGTAAAAATTCATTAAAATTGCAAAAATAGTAGATATGAACCCATAACTTTCGACGCGGAGTAAAAATTTGTATGTAAAAATTCATTAAAATTGCAAAAATAGTAGATATGAACCCATAACTTTATAAATATAATGGGTTCAATGTTAAAAATCTTAAAATTGAACCCATAAGATTTAAATCCTGGATCCGCCTCTGACAGCAATAAGAGTAGATCAGAAGAAAAGTAATAAAAGACCTTGTTTTTCTAATATGACACTTTACAGAAATGACTAATATTTGAGACCAGAGACCCTATACAAAATGTAATGTAGGATCCACTTTTATATTAAACAAAACTTTAATTCTTAAGAACATTAACTTTATTTTCTTTCTTGACCACTTTATAAGATTATGGGCAGTCCGGTGCACGAGACATCCCGTATTCACGCAGAGTTCGAGGAAGGACTGCACCCTCCCCAAGGGGTGTGATGTAGACAGCTTATCTTAATGCAAGCATTAGTGGCTGCTTCCACAATTCGTGACATATAGGTCACACGGGTTAAAAGTATAAGAATAATAGAATATAATGGTTATATATGTCATACCTAAGGTATCTCCAACCTTGAAAGTTTTGTTTTTGGCCCAAGCTTGATAATCAACATCAATGGTCCAGCCTTTATCACCCCCTACCCAATACTCAGTTGGCGGTGCCGGAGCGGCGGGTGCCGGTGCCGGAGCTCCATCTTCGACGGTGATGACAAGCTTTTGGCTAAAGTCAGAGCAATGTGTTGGAACACCACAAATGTACCATTTTTTACCAGGCTTAGCCAATGTTATCACATCATGGCCAGTAGTTAAAGCTTCACTTTGTGGACCAGCTATGCAACTTTGGAAAGCTGTTTGGTTCACTTTGAACACATTATGATGCCCTTTGGTATACTTAAAAACTGCACCAAATAAAAAGAAGATAGGAAAAAGTTATAAGTAATAGTCACCATTTAACTGGTAACACCTTGTTTTAATACTACCTCCTATCCATTTTAAATGTCATTTAAGGTCTGTGGCACACCCACTGTTCAAATTGAGCTAAAAATCCTAGCCCAACTCAAGCAAATAAGCAGGCTGAGTTGGCCGGCTCACGGATCAAGTCCATTTTGACGGCTCTAGGGAAAATCATTTAGTAGCATTATGTTTTAGGTTTATTTGACTAAATGGCCATTTTATCTGTTCTAAAAATGAGTAATAGTTGTTGAGAGACTTTTCTGAAAACTATATAAATCACTAATGGAGTAACGATAAATTTGAAAAAAAAATAAATAACTAATGCATTCTTATTTTCCTAAAGTAAGACTTATTTCCAGCCAAATTTATTTGGCTAAAACGACATTTAAATGAACGGCATGTAGTAATAAATTGAAAAAGTGAAAAGAATACATGTTTCATGTCTAAGATACCAGTGCTGAAGCTAGAAAATTCACACTTTTTGCTAGTGGACTATGCAAGGGTGTTCAAAGTCTATTTTTTTATTAATAACAAGTAATATTTTATCTTGAACATAATATAATTTTTCGGCGAAATGTGTTCAGTTAACCACCCTTGACCACATATAGCTTCGCACCCATAAGAAAGTTATGATAGCTACAGAAGTATGATGCAACTAATTGAATGTTCACTAACAGTGTAAAAATAATTTACATTATCAATATATATCTTAAATATGTCATACCTAAGGTGTCTCCAACTTTGAAAGTTTTGTCCTTGGCCCAAGCTTGATAATCAACATCAAGGGTCCATCCTTTGTCACCCCCTACCCAATACTCAGTTGCCATTGTGATTGCAGGCAGAAATCCTGCAATCATAATTATTAAACACAAAATCTTGGAAGCCATTGAAATTTTTTCTTAGGAGCTTACTAAAATAGAAAACTTTAAGGATGAGTTGTTAGAAGAAAAATTGGTATGGCTATTTATAGCTTTACTTAACAAGAAAGTTAATCGAGGTTTCCGAGGATCACAAAGTGATTGATTACTTTGAATCCTAAGTACGTGAACTCCAATGAATTAGCCTGGCAAATATTCCACTATTGTTCTCGTAAAGTTCAAAGAAAAGAAAAATAAGAATACCTTAGTTATTTATAAGATTACTAATGGCTTTAATTACAAGATTATTTGTCTAACTTATCGTTATTATTTTCTCTTAAATGTTTCATCTTATTAATTGGAGTAGTAAGGGTAATAAAAAATAACAACTGTATTTTATTTTTCTAAAACGTCAAATATTTCGAAGCAAATTTAGTTTGCTAAAACGATTACTATTTGGGACCGGACGGAGTAGGTTGTTAGCATTTATAAGGAATTTTATCATACCCAAAATTAAAGCTAAAAAAGAGAATACAAATATGACCATTGTTAATCATGTTTCAAGCTATAGTGTCACTCATATTGGAAATAATATGTTTCCATACTCTTAAATTGTGGAGCATAGGCTTGCTATGAAACACTAATTTCTTCGGCGAGTCAAGAGTATATTGCCATTCTTTTTTATTTATATTTATCTACAACCACTGATAAGTCGGAATAAGATGCCTATATCATATCTTCCTAAGTTGTAATCCTTTTCAGGACCTTATGTGAATGCGGGATGCATCGTGCATAAAACTGCTCTTTTATGCTTATATTCGAGGACACTAAGCTGAACTAAATTATTGTTGTTAACTTGCTATCGAGGTATGTGTTGATACTGTTTTGTTCTTATGTGTTTTTATCTTTATCCTAAAAAAGACCTCAGAGAATACATTCTTAAAAACTTAAGAGATATATCACATGTTTGACTGGTTGTTATTTGCCTTTGATTTAGAAAAGACTGCAGGAAAGCTCTTTTGGAAAAAGATACTTGTACTAACAAGCACATTCAGAATAGTTTGCATGGTCAAAACATAAGCTTAACCACACGCTATTTCGTACAGGTTTTTTTGAATAATTGTGATTCTAAATATTTTTCTGAATGTAAGGAGATAAGAGATAAAACTTCTTAAATTTTGATTCTGACCAAGCACTACTTAAATGATGGTTTGCAGGAAAGTTGACATGGAATGGCAACTCCGGAAGTTTTTTTCTTAAAGATTTAAACATGGTGTAATTAAAAAAACAAAAAAAGGGTGGGGATTGGTTTGGGGGGGGGGGGGGAGGAGGAAAGTGAGCTTAAACTGACAACAAGATTTCTTCTCAAAATACACCAATCCGCTTCCTGGTATTATAATAAGGAAATCCAAAAACCATCAAAATAAATGATTTTCAAGAAAAAGACAACTCCAAGAAAAAAATCAGCAAAAGGCTCAGAGTGCAGTCTAACCTACACAATAATATATTGTTGTTTGCATGATCACCCAAGATGTAAAGAAGGATGCGAGCAAGTCTATCAATGATGTACGAAAGAAGACAAGAAAAGAAGGAGTAAAAGAAAGGAAGAAGGCAAAGATCTGTCAACAGAAATAAGAAAGGAAGGCCTAAGAATAAAGAGATTTGTAAAAGATACGACAACCATGATGACAGAGTATAAAGAAGGAAGGACCAAGATTTGAGGAGATCTAGACGGCTGAAATTATGCCTGCTCAGATTGCTGAAGATATGCGTCGCAAAGGAAGATTATCAATCCCTTAGATTAAGGAACAATCTAAGGACCACTTACAAGGAAGATTCACTTACAAGAAGGAAAGACTGGCAATCATGAACTAACTAAGGAAGCTCCGCACTTATTCGTGGAATGAATCATAACAAATTCAACTCCAAGGATCAATTCCCTTGCGATCACAAATCTCTCAACGATCTGCTGAAATCAGTGCCTAAGCCAGCAAATACTACAATCATTGGAACAAAATAGGTATTCAGAAATAAGTTGAGGATGGAAAGGTAATCAGAAAGCCAGATTGGTGGTCCAAGGCTACTCACAACGGGAAGAAGTCTACTATGATGAAACCTTTGCTCCGGTAGCGCGGTTAGAATCAATTCGTATACTGCTTGCATATGCATCTTTTAAAGGTTTTAAACTTTTTCAAATGGATATTAAAAGCGCTTTCTTAAATGGCTTTATTGATGAGGAGGTATATTAAAATAATCTCCTGGTTTTGAAAACTCAAAATTTTCTTACTATGTGTATAAGTTGACTAAAGCCTTTGTATGGACTCAAACAAGCTCCTCGAACCTGGTATGAAAGGCTTAGCTCATTCCTAACTGATCATGGATTCACAAGAGATAAAGTTGATACTACATTATTTATCAAAAGATCCTCGGAAGGTAATCTCACTATCCAAGTCTATGTTGGTTATATTATTTTTGGAAGAGCTAACTCTCTCCTGTGCGAGGAATTTTCTAATCTCATGCAAAGTGAGTTGGAAATGAGTATGATGGGAGAACTCACATTTTTTCTTGGACTTCAAATTCAACAATCTAAGAAGGGAACATTTATATGTCAGACCAAGTATACAAAGGAATTGATTCAAAAATTCGGCATAAGCAATTGGTACACCCATGAGCCCTTCAACAGGTCTTGACAAAGATGAGAAGGGAAATTCAGTGGATGAAACAAAGTACCGTGGGATGATTGGATCCTTACTTTATTTAACTACTAGTCGACCATATATTATGTTCGATGTGTGTAAGTGTGCCGGATTTTAGTCAGCTCCTAATTAATCACATCTGACAACAGTAAAGCGGATAATTCGCTATCTTATCAGAATTATTTCTTATGGACTATGGTATCCGGCATCTAACAATTTTAAGCTTGAAAGCTTTTCAGATGCTGATCTTGCAGGGGATAAAGAAGACCAAAAAAAGCACCAGTGGAACATGTCAATTATTGGAAAAAATATTAATTTCCTGGAACAACAAGAAACAAGGTTCAGTAGCACTGTCCACAACTGAGGACGAATATATTGCTATTGGACAATGTTATGCTCAATTACTCTGGATGTCTTGTCAACTAGTCGACTATGAACCATAATTTAAACTTATTCAAATATTCTGTGATAATTCTAGTGTTATATGTCTTTCAAAGAACCCTGTGCATTATTCTAGAGCTAAGCATATAGATATTAAACTTCATTTCATTAGAGATCATGTCCTTAAAGGAGATATAGAATTGATGTTTGTTAGCACTACTGATCAATTTGCAGATACTTTTACAAAGCCCTTGCTTGAAGATAGATTATGTACTCTAAGGAAATTACTTGGCATTATTTCACTTAGTATAAAAAATTAGGACTTATGTGTTATTTTTAATTCTTTATATGGTTACTGTTTTTTTGTAAGAAGTAGTTAATTGTGCGCCTCCATTTTTCCTCCCTTTTCGCATTAGTCACAACTCTCTAGAAATGAAAATCAATCATTATGTCCTTTCACTAACGCATTTTCCTTTCCTGTACTCAACCGTCAAATTCATTCCTTTTAACCTTCTAAATCACTTCCATTCTTCATTCATCGGTCCTATCGCTCAGAAACCCTCATCCAAAACTCATCAATGGCGAAAAGCTCAAAAACCCCTTTGCCTCCACTCGAAAAAGCACTTGTTTCAGGGCAAAACCTTTCTCTCAGCCCCCAAAATCAGTAGATTTAGGTTCCGATCATTCTGAAGGCTTTGCCTCCTCTCAGGCAGAGCTCTCTGACAACACTCGTAGCCTGAACGAGAAAGCCCTTGGAAAACGACCCATGGAAGAACCTCCTGAATCTTTCACCCCAAAGAAACCTAAAGTAGACCTTTCGATCTCTCTAGAGTCAGACATTAACTTCTGGGATACTCCAAATAGAGACACCTTCGTTGCCCTCAATGACAAGCCTATAGCTCATGGCAGAGTGATCGATTTAAATGATATGGAAGCCTCAACTGTAAGGTAAAAGAGCTTTTTGATCTCCAAGGTTGGTCAAACTTCCTCTCTCTACCGCCCCCTAAAATCTATTCCCTAGTTAGGGTGTTTTATGCTAATCTCCGTTCTCCCAAGCCTGATAAGTTGGAATCTCTAGTTCTAAGGAAGCGCACTATTCTAGATTGTGCCCTGTTTGACTCGATTTTTCAGTGTAAGTATTCTGGTTTCTCTATGCTTTTCAAAAATACATGGCCTGAAGATTTTGAAATTACTTTTGATCAAGCAAAGCGTTGCATAGCTGAGTCTCCCTCTGATTCCCTTCCTAACCAGTTAGGCCCCAGTAATGTTAGTTTTGAAATCTGGGTCTCGCACACATTGTAGCAACAACCCTTCTCCCTCGCATTGGTTCATTCTCCACATGTTCTCAATAAGATACCTTTCTTGTTTATTGCCTAGTGACCAAGCGTAAAGTCAAACTGTCTTCTTGGGTCATAATATGATTGAAAGTGTTGATGATCCCACTAGTCTTCCTTATGATATGGTTATCACTCATCTCTTAGAACCTCATAACATCACTATTTCCAATTACCCCTTTGTCTCTGTCACAAAATCTTACAATTCTAGAGGCTTTGGCAGTATGGGGTATGTTTGTGCTAAGGGTACCTGGGTGAAGAAACAAGAAGGAAAGATTAAGGTTGTTCATACTGAATCCAAAGCTAGAACATCTGGTTCCCATCATGGTGTGTGTGATCGCGAGCTTGTGGAGAAATTGACTGATATGGACAACAAGTTGACCATCATCAAGGACCTTCTTGTCTCGACTCAATCAACCATTGGGGACATCCATGACATTTCTAATGAGACATGGTCAGATGTATCAAAGATAAAGGTCAAGATTCTCAAGTTAGCAGAGAATGCAGTCAAAGCTTTCAAGGAGGTGCATGACAAGATTGATGGGGTATCTGTTATAGTGAATACTAGCTTTAATCATCTGAAGGAGGCTATCTGCAATACTCTCACTCATTTTCTGCG